TTTTGTGGAGATCTTAGAAATTTCACTAGTTGAAATCATGAGTCAATTGAAGCTAGACCACCATGGAAAACCTGGAAGCACTGGATGGCCGTTTCGTTCTATTGTGGGACTCCTCAGCAGTGCACATCCATGATCCCGCTCCTTGCGAGATTCGAAACCTGGACCTATCAGTCACTAAAGACAATGGTATACGGTGGCGCAACTTCGTGGATTGGTTGAAGTTAGACATTAACATCGTTGGATGCCAGTTCAGTGGTCTATTTGGTCAAGCTCCTGGCGCAAAACTGATAGGTTCTGGGTTCGAATCTCGCGAGGAGCGGGATCATGGGTGCGCACTGCTGAGGAGTCACATACTAGGACGAAACGGTCGTCCAGCGCTTCCAGGTTTTCCATGGTGGTCTAGCCTCAATTGACTTATGATTTCAATCAATATATTATTGTCAGAATCGATCAAGATATAGGAAATGGAAACTTGTTGAAATACTTTGTGCTGAATATTCCATATTGTACCGGAAATGTTATACTGAATAAACTCATAATGATACTATGTTGTTCAGATGGTAATTTTCCAGAAGAAAATTAAATAATAATATCGATTTCTGTGTAAGACAATAATATAATGATGAATCGATCAGATATAAGATAAGAGATCTTGAGTTTTGGCGCGTAATTCATTCATCCATTTACTATATAGGGGTGAATTTATCCTCAACGTTTCCATGTAAGCCGAATGTATCGCCTAGTGTAATAAAGGTCATGTCTGAGTTCATGTCATCATAGAATTTGTCATTTTATAAGGTATTTTTTCTATTAAATAACCAGATTATGTTGTGAATTTTACTCTAGTTGTAATTTTTATTCGCCATGTCCGACTGTGTTACACTGTACGTTCATTGCATGCTGGAATGATATCCTAACTCATAGTATGTTTAATCACATCGATGATTGTTTCCAGATAGACTGACAGTTATAATGTTACTGAAGAAAGGTTTGTTGTGCTGTAAACTATGTTTTTATGAACAACTGACTGTTGTCTTCAGTCTCATAGCAATATATATTTCCTTTGTCTTCTGCTAGGTAAGTTCGACTGGCCTGTAGTTCGTGTTTTGGGTTTATCGACTGAATTATGTCTATTTAACTACTTTGAGTAACATGTCTGTGCAAATGAAACAATAATTATGACACTTGCTTAGTTTAGTATTCTTGGTTGTTGTATAAGTCAGTTAGTCTATAGAATTATAGTATACTTAAGTATAGTGCTTGAAGCCTGTAACGAAACAGATCAGTTTAGTAACTAGAGCTGCCTGTTTTTAATGAGTATACTGATTCAAATTAGTCTGATTAAAAATAAGAAAAAAAGTGCCCCTGTTCATGTCGTATGTTGAATCCAAGCAAACAACTTCAGGGATTTGCTTATACGTTTCCATTTGCTTGTACGTACTAAATGCTATTCTTATGACCTGGTTAACCACACCACCATAACAAACGAATACTTTCCCACTGTTGCGTAACGTTGAAAGTACGTCGCTTAAAAAACCGTAGATATATGGGATAAGCTTACGTTCGACAACTTTGTATTTTAAATTATTAACAAATTTCACCGTTATTGTCTTTCCAATCTGGATTACTCCCAGTCTTAACCATAGGTATAACAACGTTCAACTGATCTTGATTTAATCTTCTGAATCAAAGATCATTTTTAAGCATATTTCATTACACGGATGGTTATGTATCATCTTCGATGACGCTATGACGAACCGTTTGACATCATACCACAAACGAAACGTGGCCTTGCAACTAGTAAACTTTGATCTACGAAAATTAAGAATAATAATAGTCATTTACTCTTTTACTCTCTGACCAGGGCCCTCCGGTTTCTTTTTATGACCAAAAGAACATACATACACTAAATACTCGTAGTGAATTTCCTGCTTTTCTTTGTTCCGCTTGCTTTCATGTACTACGTAATGAGTCCAACTCATCTATTACTTTTATATGGTGTATTATTAATAACAAACCTACAACAGATCGATAGCTTCTCTAACTTGGTCCCAGCTTGTCAGGTACCTGAGTCTCATAACCCTTTCGAAAACATCACTGGTATCCATAGCTACTGGACACTCAGTATGAATTTGACTCGTTGATGGAGTAGCGTGATCCATAATACTACAGGAAATAACAAATCGGAGACTGTTTTCTTTCATTCCGCCTGATAACAATAAATGACACTTAGGAACGAATATGAGGACAATTAGAGTTCCATGCAATAGCAAAACTTATTTTAGCTAAGAAAACTAACTTCGGCTCTCGATATCTGACAAAAAGTACTCAAAACAAAACGGATTAACATTTTATAACATAAGACTAACCAGCTCGCCTGAAGAAATACATTGGCTTGAGTAGCAACAGCAAAAACCCAGAAAACACCGCTGAATCGAAATAAATTTTACGCCAACATTTAGAACATTACAATAACTGCGGCACTTTAGCACACTGAAACATTAAATTATGTAGCGACACAAAAGAAATAGCTGAAAAAAGCACAGAACGAAGAAAGCCGACCACCATTCCTTACAAAGATGGCGGGCATAATGATTCCCGCCTCATTCTGATTGGTTGCTAAGCTGATTGCCACGTTTACGAAATCGAATTGCAGCCCTACGTAGCATTTTAACATTTTAAATGATGTCAGTTCGTGAATGAAACTCCTAAATCTAATTCCTAGCCTATCAACTTTAAGTCATAATTCTTATTCCTTAAACTGATTTATAACCCTCATTTAGTTCTAATTAGCGAATGGACATTCTCAAAGTGAATTTAGCGTCTCTAGAAGGTCGTCCATAAATTGTAGTCTCATCGATTTCTGATTTAAATATGATCTCATACCCATACATGGTATGATATAATGACTATGATTGCGAAACGAATGAATCTCTAAAAGCCATTAGTTATCTCATCGAATTTAGTGTTGTATATTAAATTATCTACATTTAAGATGAAACCTAATTACGAAGAGAATCATCTACGTTTCAGTTATTCAAAAGACCTAACTTTATATAGAAATGTAAGCAAAAATGTATGGTGGCTAACAGTGGAATTCAGAACATGCATTTCGTCTTATTTGGCATTCTTCAGTTGGATATACCTGTATTCTAGAGTTGATGCTCACTCTAGGAATCCACTATCATCACTACTTATAAAGTTTATAATTTAAAGCAATATCGTGACAATCTACACAGGATGCACATATATATCAATAACAGAATGATTAATTGCAGTCTTAAACCTCAATGGAAAGATTCAAGCAAACAATACCATGTAATTTAAATTCATTCAATTGCACAAGTAAGTGGCTATCAGGACTCAGTAGTCGAGTGGATAACGCCGAAGGCGTTTGAAACAATGTTCTATTGCAAATTTGAATAGAAATAAAAATCAGAAGAGAATTGTTTTGTTCTATATCAGTATATAGAGAGAAAGAAAAAGAAAGAGGCTTATTTATTTAATAGTTGAGTTGAAGCTGGACCATCGTGACAAACCTGAAATTACTGGATAGCTGTTTCGTCCCGTTGTGGTACTCTTCAACAGTGTGCATCCACGATCCCGCCTCGTGGGATTCGAAACCAGAACTTATTGGTTTGGTGTGCAAACGTTTAACCTGTAGATCACTGAGTGACAGATCTACCAATGTCTTCAGTAAGTTACTATCTCACAAAAAACCCAGTTGAACTCCACTGGCCACTGCTTCTCACCAGAACGTCATAAAATATCTCTTGAAGCCAGTCACTAGTGTGCATATGTTGATTAATATCTGAAGGGGTTTTGTAGAGATTTTAGTGATTTGAATAGTTGAATTCATGAATCTATTGAAGCTAGACCACCATGGAAATTCTGAAAGCACTAAACGGCTGTTTCATCCTAGTATAGGACTCCTCAACAGTACGTATCCACAACATCACCTCACGCACCAGACTGTTAGGTTTTATTACATGTACATTTATAAATCGAAATGAATTCTTATGTGTATTTTATTTATTTATTTGTTTGTTTGTGTGTGTGTGCGTGCATGCGTGCATACGTGCGTGCATATATACATGTGTGTATGTATCCATATTTTTATTTGGCGTCTATTATTCTATATTCATGAACAAAAATGGCGCCAATTAAGATAACAGTAATATTCTATATTATAGTTTACATATCTCCTATACATTACAACACTTTTCCCCGTTTGATTATACCACATAAAAGATTTTATTGGTTATAAGTGAATTACATTCCCCATAGGTCTATCTAACTTTTTTTTACCTTTAACATATTGTACATCCATCTACAGAAGAACCCTATTAACACCCTATTCATTCACATAATTCATATGGTTAATAATAACAATTTTTAAAGTTTATTTTGATTGTTTGTTTGTTTGTTTTCTATATTCTCTTCTCAAATATGATAATGGCACCGTATTCAATTTATCCAATCATTATAAACAATAATCATAATAAACCATTGAAATAGGAAAATTAAATATAGTTAAGATGAAAAAAAAATTAGTAATAACAAGAACAACAACAACCACAACCACAACAACGACAACGATAACGACAACAACAACAACAACATGCTATTGGTTTATATATTTACTTAATGAAACTAGATTGTAAAACCAAAAAGAAAAAACACTATGTGTATGTGTGTGTGTGTGTTCGGTCCTCCTAGTTACAAAAGTAGGAAAAAAAAACTTGAAAAAAATGTTGTTGTTGTTGTTGTTGTTGTTGTTGTTGTTGTTGGGTAACCTTACATATATATAAATACTGAAGAAACTTCATTATTAATGAATGAATGAATGAATGAATGAATGAATTAAATAATATACAATACATTTATATATACATATATATACATATCAATCAGAATAATTCATTTAATGCATCCAATCTATCTAAACTACTTATTTACTTAAATGAAAATTGTATGATTATTTTTAAAAAAAAATAAATATGATAATTAAATATTATATAATTTATTTATTTATTATTAATGATATATTATTAATATTAAATAATTTCATTTATGTCTATTCAATAAATAATCAATTATTGAACGAAAAATCAATGAAAAAATCAATAATCAATCATACAATGATAATCAATAATCATAATTATAATGGTTATTGGTTTAATAAAGGTATAGAATATCATTTATGTACTCAATCTATAATAAAAAATTATAATTATTTATTATTTATTAAAAATCAATATAAAGATTGTGATAAATTATCAATACAATTATTAATCAATAATCAAATTGATTTAATCAGTAAACATAATAATCAATTAAATTATGAATTATTAATGAAAAAAATTATATGTATATTACAAAAAATTAATTGTCCTATTAATGAGAAATCATTTCAAGTAAGTTAATAATTAGTTACTATGGTGTTTATTGATTTCATCTTTGTGTGTGTGTGTATGTGAATTGATTGAAATGAGATATGAACACCTTTAGATCTCGATTCATGAGTGTTTGCGTGCCAGATCAAAGATTCTGATGTTGATCAAATGAGTGATTTAAAGGTTAAATGCGTGCGTCTGGAATCAATAGGTCTTGAGTTCGAGTCCCAGATGTAAGATCATGAATACACACTGTTGAGGAGTTTTATATAGTAGGATTTCCAGGTATTTTATAGTAGTCTAACTGTAATCGATTCATGAATTCAATTAACAAAAAATGAAAGATGTTTTAAGGCATTTTATAAAATCTACAAATTGTTACCTCTAGAGTATCATCATCATCAATAATAATAAGAAGAATCAAGTAAATTGTGAATTCTTATCAGAAAGGGTTTTCTGAAGATTTTAGAAATTTCACTTGTTGAAATCATGAGTCGATTGAACTTAGACCACAATGGAAAACCTGAAAGCATTGGACAGCCGTTTTGTCCTAGTATGGAATTCCTTAGTAGTGCGCATCCACGATGTCACCTCGCGAGATTCAAACCCAAGACCTATTAGTTTTGTACATGAGCGCTTAACCATTAGACTACTGAGCCGGTATCCAACGGTGTTAATGTCTAACTTCAACCAATCCACGTAATTGCGCCACCGTACACCATTGTCTTCAATGAGCTGATATGTCACAACAGATCTGGTTGAACTCTACTGGTAACGACTTGTCACTAATGATCTAATGGTCAAGCGCTCACGCGCGAGACTGGCAGGTCCTGGGTTCGAATCTTACGAGGGGCGGGATCGTAAATTATGAATTAATAATGAAAAAAACAGTTAGATTACAAAAACTAGTTGCCCTATAAATGAAAAATCATTTCAAGTAAGTAAATTGGATAATTATGTTAGTTACTATACTGTTTATTTATCGAACACAATATTTTTGTATATGTAGATTGATTGAAGTTAAATATTAACACTGTTTAGATGATGACCGAATCAGTGATCAAGAGATTGAGAATTCACGCACACGAAACCAACGAGTCTTGAGTTCGAATCTTTTCGGTGAGGGATCGTGGATGTATGTTGTACCAGAACGAAACAGCCTTTTAGAGTTTCAAAGCTTTTCATAGTAGTCTAATTTTAATTGGCTAATGGATTCAACTATTAAAATATCATGACTGATATACTACTTAATATACTATTTGAGTTTCATGTTAATTATAATATTTGTTTTGTGAAAATAAACCGGATCTGTTATGACACAGGAACTCACTGAAGACAATGATGAACGGTGCCGCAATTTTGTGGATTAGTTGAGGTTAGACTTTAACACCGTTGGATATAGGCCAAACCAGTTGTCTAGAGGTTATGCGTTCGTGCACCAGACCGATAGATCCTGGGTTAGAACCTCTTCGGTGCGGGATCGTGGATACGCACTGTTAAGGAGTTCTGTGCTAGGACTTTCCATGGTGTTCTAGATTTAATCGACTTATGGATTCAGTTATTGAAATGGAAGTTGTTTAAATTCACTTAGTGTTGTTTTACTTGTATCTTTTTATTGTTATTCAGGACTGTAATTGATCAGCTCCATACAATAGACTTTCTTGAATTTCTTATTGATTATCCTGACGTTATTATTGAATGACAGTTGTTTTAAGTTCCATACGTTCTTCCTTTGTAATGTACTATGTAATATAGGCTAGTTGAGTCAAGTTCAGGAGTTAAAATTAAGATATTATAAAGTTTTATTACGCTAAAGATTCTACAACTTCAAAATTATCCCGATTGTCTAGTAAATGAAAAGCGATTACAGTATTGAAAACCATGTGTCCGTTTAGTTCCAACGTTTGTGGAATAGATTCACAGATGTAAACATAAATGTTCTTTTGTGTTTTTTCAATGTATCTACTTTGGCACCACATGTAAACTGGTAAACACAAGTGGAGGTAACACAAGGCCGGTATTTGTTTACATTTGTTTGTTGAAGTTAGCATTTGATTTGATAATAGAGACATCAACTTAACCGCTGGATACGTCTTTTTTAATATTCCCTTTCCTTTAAAATCCATCCTCTCAGCTATTTTATCACATTTGAGACATATCAACTGATGAATAGAGTTCTATCAGTCCGTTAACAAATTGCAGATACGATATTTGGTTTTAAAAATCGTGATTAATTAAGCAAAGATGGATAGTGCCTAGAAGTGGAATACAGGATGCGCGATACAACCTCCTATTCGGAACTCGTCAACTGGATGTACCTATATCTCAGAGTTGATGTTCACTCTGTGACTCGATCCCAATACCGTTCGCTTCAAACGCCATCGTGTTATCCACTTACCTACTGAGTCCTGATAGCCACTTGCTTGTAAAATGGAGTGAAGTTAAAATTCACTTAATATTGTTTAACTGTATTTTTCCATTGATGTTTAGGCGTGCGATTGATCAGTCTCTTATTAGCATATGTGCATCCTGTGTGTATTGCCTCAACATTGCCTTAAGCGGATAACACGATGGCGTTCGTAGAAATTGATAAGTTATGTGTTATGTAGACTTATCTTTTATTAAGCCAAATGAAAGGGATTCACTTCTGAATAATGTAAGAATTGATGATATAGCCCACAAAGACAATGAATGATTCACAATTTCACTTTGTTGTTTAGTATTAAGCTCGCTACTTGATTAACGCAGAATACAGTTTACGACTACGACACTCGAACGTTGGAACTTCACCGTCACAAAATCAGAAGACAGAAGAAAAAGCCGGAGAAATGTTTATTTGATAAGAATCAAAGTTTACAGAAAATCACGGGTATTTATAGATATTAGCATTTGTTAAATTAATATTATATTTTAGCTAATCCGCTAAGTGACATATTATGCTACTGACTAATAGTAGCATGCCACATTGATATTCTAGAAAGCTCCATCATGTACTGATTGGCTGGAACTCTTCGGCTCTTTTGGGGGCTCTGTAGGTTTCGTTATAGTTCTCGGAAGCCGACTCAACATTTAGATCATTTAAAAACATTAAATCCATCCACTTGAATTCTCAATCTTCTTCATTATTTCAATATCTTTGTGAAAATGATGATGAAATTTGATAAAATTCTATAAGATGGTAGCATGGATTAGTAATAATAATAATGGATACTTTCTATGCATATAATAATGTCCTAATAATCTATAGTAACAACATTTTCAAATGATTAATTACCATAGTAACTCTTTACTTATATTGAAATTCGATCCAATATATGTATAAATTAATAAGTGAGAAGCACTGACCAGTAAAGTTCAACCAGATCTGTTTTGAGATAGTAACTCACTGATGACAGTTGTGGATATGTCGCTCAATTTCGTGGATTAGTTGAAGTTGGACATTAACAGTGTTGGATGCCGGCTAACTCAGTGGTCTAGTGGTTAAGTACTTGCACGCAAGACTGACAGATCCGTAGTTCGAATCTCGCGAGATGGAATTGTAGATGCGCACTACTGAAGAGTCCTACACTAGGACGAAACGACCATCCAGTACTTTCGGGTTTTCCATGTTGATCTAACTTTATTTTACTCATGATATCAACTATTGAAACTATTATAATATCCACAAAGCCCCTTCTGATACAAATAAATAAGTGACATCAAAAACATATTAATGAAGTACAATGAAGTGGGGGTTATCGGGGAATAAATATTTACTATTTATAAACTACTTAAATAAATAACCATTAAAAAGAAGAAAAAAAAGGTGAATAATAACCATATAACAACTAAAACTTTATCATTTTCATATATGAATGATGTACATTATCATATATGATGTTTCTAACTCTAGAAGAATAGGATATTAAAATGGCGCCTACTAGATCATCATATATATACATAAAAGTATATTGAATATTGAATAACATTCATTCAACAAGGTAATAGATCATTTTAATGAATTACAAGATGTAGCATATGTGCTTAAACTTAGTGAAGAAAGTTTCTTCATTAGATTTCTATACAAACATCATGTGTATATCTGGTTTATTCATCATGAATGTTCAAGAAAAACGGGTGAAATAATTAACATTTGGTTAAGTAATGTTATTATTAGGATTATTATTAGTAGTAATATCAGTAGTATTAGTAATGGTAATCGTCTTTGTCCTAGTAGTAGTCGTAGCCCTACTAGTAGATGCAGTAGTAGTCGTAGTCGTCACCCTAGCAGTAGTAGTAGTAGTCGTTGTAGTAGTAGTAGTAGTGGTAGTAGTAGTAGTAGTAGTAGTAGTAGTGTTAGTCATAGTAGTAGTAGTAGTAGTATTAGGCGTAGTAGAAGTAGTCCTAGTAGTAGTAGTAATTATATTGATTGTCTTATAGTGAACGAGAACAAAGGTTCCGGAAAACTAAGTATATCTGTATATGAGATTACAGAATCTTTTAGCGAAATCTGAGAAATATACAGTCAATATTTCATTTGCAAAATATTCATCAATTATCTCAGATTTTGTTGTTCCTTCGTTTTCATAACCAATCACTCATTGTTCTTGTCTTTTTCTCTTCTCTTTGATCTTTTTACACCTTCTGCCGTTAGTCCTTTAACACATTCGATTGATGATAAAGTTTCTTTATTATTAACTTTATTTAATATAATAGTTTTTGGTACAATGCAGAATTCTCAGCATCAAGTATTTCAGTGAGTTCCCTTTTCTTATTTCTTGATCAATATTGACGATAACATACTGAAAGATTATTGATTAGATATTAGCATATCAGAGAAAGGTCGTAAACTTTTGATAAACGTGCCTCTGAATAGGATATACGATTAATAGACATAATGATATGTCCAATCAAACGAACAAAGACAGATAACTTGCCGAAATATGTAGATGATGACAGGAATATTTAGCTGAGATATTCAAGTAGATCGTCAAAGAAAGTAAGTAAAATGTCTTATAGTCTAAAAGTAAAAGTTTAAATTG